TGTATATTTTAGAGAACCTAGCGAGTTTTCGAAAGACACGAAGTTTGTCACCCCCACTTGGACCAGCTTGACGAGCGCGGACTATGACAGAATTCCCCTCGCATTGAAAGAAGGTCCATGCCCAGCGATGGGACGTAAAAAAGGGCTGAATCAATAATAAATATAGCTACATTTGTAAATTCAGTCCTGTTTTTAACGTGCCATGTTTAGTAATTTTTATTTTTGTATTAACTGTTATGAGATAATGATTTATATATTTTTTTATTAGTTTATCGATTTTACTTGATATTTTGTGTAGAGATAGTTTAATTTTATGGTTCGGAGAGTGATAATTTCTACTATTTATTCCGGACATTAAGAATAAGTTTGTGGATTAATTTGAGAAAGAACATTTAATGTAGAAAATAGATTTTTTGTTAAAATAATACAAATATATATTCATAATCGGTAAATATTTATTTTTATAATTATGACTATAACAATAAATAAATTAAATAAGTTAGTTAATAAATACAAACAATAAATTAATTTATGGGCACTCTTTAATAACAACATTAATATAATTAAATATTTTTAACATAAAATGGTGATTGAAAGTTAAATTATATGTTATACACTTTATAATAAATTATACTTAAAATAAAATAATAGAATAAATTAAATTATTACAAATCAACATGTTCAAATAAATAATAACAAGCATTCATCAAACACAATAAATTACAAACATGCACAATCATATTAATTCTAATCTAACATACCTACAATTATAATATTTACAAAATGTGACATATTTGTTATTAAATTTTATTTAGTAGACGTTTCAGTACACATCTCAATATTCATTTACCTCAATAAACAAAAATGACATAAAATAAAAAAATTAAAAAATATTTTTTCAAATCGGATTAGTAGTTCCTGAGATTAGCGCGTTCAAACAAACAAACAAACTCTGTCTCTTTAAAATATTAGTATAGATTTATTTCAATTTAAATTTGATTTAATACATGGTTACAAAAACATACTTAGCACTTTGAAAAATCTAATATTTTTTAATAAATGCCTATTCAAATATAAAATCTTCGGTTGTGGGTAAGAGATCTACTTTAAAGTTCAACGGCGAAGTCTCTTGGTACAGAAATTTCTATGTAATGATTCTTGCAGACCTGTAAAAGAATTTGTTAAATAAATTTGTGAAAGAAAAAGAATTTGTTTTAGACCATTTATATGTTATTCGTGAAATATAACATCGTTTTCGTGAGTGCGGTATTTATTGAAGGTAGCCAATTTAATGCTCTTTGAGATTGAAAAAGAGCTCTTCTAGCTACAGGGTATTTTTAACAATAGGATACAATAAATTGTTACATCCAACCATTCAACTCTCCTTAAGATCTTATAATCCATAATGGTTAACTGCTTTGTTCGTTTTATGTATGATCATTAGCAATTACTTTTATCTAACTGCGGCTAAACCCAAAAGAGGGATATGTATGTATGTCCGACTCTATGTTCCCTCGTAATTACTAAACGACTAAACCAATTTTTATGATTTATACGTTGTTCGATTCCTCTTGATAACGCCAGTGTCATAAGGTATATGAATATAATTAAAAATCAAAATGGCGGATCTCAGACAGCAATTTGTGTGTCTTGAAACATTTTTTTCGTCCGAATCAATAAATTAGAATTAATAAATAAATATTATTAAATATATACTCATTACATTGAACTAGCTTCCGCGGTGGTCTAGACTCTAGTGGCTAGTATATTACGGTCGCATCCGGATGTCCTGAGTTTGAGTCCCGGGTCGGGATAACAGCCCGCAGTTGAAGTTGGAGTACGAAAGTGACAGAAATAGAGTACATATGGGCATACCCGCGCAGACGGCTAGTGTCAGGGTAAGACATGATTATTATTAATTGTTGCATTGAATAAATAAATAAAAACTAAAAAAAAAACCGACTTCCAGGCACTAAAATGTAAAAATATATTAACTAAACGGGGGCTTTCATTTAGAATAGATACCTAATCAGATATTTTCGAAGTATATATAGTATACATCCTCACAAACGTTCGTATTTCTAATATTAGTAGGAATTAGGATAATTTATCCTTATAGAGCTCGTATCAGTGAAGCGTATCAAAAATGTGATAACATCGCGCGTGCATATTAAATTGGTATGTGTATGAATTTACATGGGAAGATTCAGTAAAAATCTTTCATATTAAATTTAAATAAAAAGAACTAGGTTAATTACAACAAGTAGTATTTTTTTTCGTAGTAGTTAGTTAGTTTTTCGTAGTATGATAAGTTTCTATGGATTTATTACCTACAAATGAACAAGACTAAAATATATTAATTAAATCAACAAAATGTTAATTAAAGTTAAACTGAACGTCAGAGATGTTCAGTTTTATAGGATGCATAAAAAGAATGAATAAATATGATATAATTATGTTCTTATTAAAAGATAGAGTGAATTCGAAGTTACTTTAAAAGTATTATTTCTACAATGATTCTTGCGACCTGTATATTTTTGATTTGAACTTTATTTTCTTAACGACTAACCCTCGTTTCGATCGAGTTTGTCCCTATGTACGTTAGTATATATAGATAGACTATATATTATATGATATAATTATAGCCTATAGCCTTCTTCAATAAACGGGCTATCTAATGCAAAAATAATTTTTCAAATCAGATTATTAGTTCCTGAGATTAGCGCGTTCAAACAAACATACTCTGCCTCTTTGTAATATTAGGTAGTACCTATACATATGAAAATAGGCTTTCAATAGGTAATGATAGAAATATAATTTTGTAAGTGCTATTCTACCTATCTCAAATATATATATATATATATATATATATATATATATATATATATATATATATATATCTTTACGGCTAATACATATTAATAAACTAGACTTAGGATTAGGGAATTCAATATGCAAAGTTATTTTACGAGTACTATGAAGATTCGTGAAACACTATATGATGTCATGGAAAATATAGAACCTATGGCCTTTTTTTTTAACGTTGGGAAATGCATTTACGCACGAGGTGTGGGACTCACCGGCAAAGCCAGTACTACCCACTAAAACCCAACAAAGCCTTCCCCCATCTTAATGGGGCGTCGCAGGATCGCTTACGCATTTAACTACGACGCCCCGACGGCAGGTCTGCCAAAGCAGACCACAACAACCACGGGGTTGCTCCAAGGTCCACTCTACTATCAGAGAAGTACCAGGAGCAACCCGCATGGTACACCGCCCTCCGAAGAGGGCCACCTCCCACCGCCCACCGAAGTGGGTCACCTCCCTGTGCGTTTCTTGGCTTCGCGTCCGGTTGGGTTGCCGGGCACTACTAAGTCCCCCCACCACGACAAGGTGAACGCACGTTTTGCAAAACCTATGGCCTATGTCGAGGATTTTTATTTAACAAGTGTATAATATCAGAGGGGTAAAATTATATTTTCCCTAACGTAATATTTTGTTATTGGCAGTAAAACCATATTCCACCTTCGTTACAATTAGTACCCAGGGAACGATCTGAGTTAACTATAATCGGATCGTTGGGATCTAAATGGAAAAAGGTAAAAATGTGAATCGAAATCTTGACCCAATTTTTTAAAGCTCTAATACAAAAAATAAATAGGACAACACATCCCTAGAGATGCAAAGATACGGAATGTCAGCTTTTCTCATATTTCGTTTTGTTTTTGTTTGCCGACGATACGTTCTCGTCTTGATGAAACCGAGATTTGTTTGTTTTAAGCGAACTTAAAACTCAAAACAACTTGACTGTATATTTTTAAAGAAAACAAATCTTTTACCCGCGTCATTGTCTCTTGAGATCAAAACTGTAAGTGAGAAGTTAAAAAATAAATACATACCTATAACTTGTCACTTAATACGTCGTCGTTTGACGACACGTTTGGCTCAGTTGGTAGTGACCCTACTTGCTGTGCCAACTGTCGCGAGTTCGAGTCCCGCTGGGGGCATTCATTGGTGTGATGAGCATGAATGTTTGTACTCCAGTCATGGATGTTAATATTTATAATATGTATGTATTTAAAGTTATATATGTGTAGTGTATCAACTATTAGCTTACCATGGAACTAGATGGCGCTGTGTGTTAATGACCCAACATAAAAAAAAATACTTTCTTAGATTTACGCGAATGTTTCTCATATTCAATAAAACAATCTTTTCGTATTTTTTCGCGGGAGTCTCTCCCATAACAAAGATGTCGTGTAACACATATGTATACAAAAAGCAGCAAAATTGACCTCTTTTTTTGAAGCCGGTCAAAAAAGTGTACAACATTTTTATAAATGCACAAGTCTATTTGTTGGTCAGTGACTGTACCAAAAATAACGAGTATTAATAGCATATTATGAAGAATCTGAGTACTAGTAAATATCTATGCTATATATATAAAAATAGACGAAGAAAAATCAGTTCAGTAGCTATTTCTCTTCTGTTTGTCAACCTATTTTCATTTGTTTGGTTTAGTAGCTATTGACGAGCCTTAGTGTTATCAATAAAAAAATCGAGTGAGATTTTTATATACACATGTAAATTCTATATATGTATATGTTTTTAATAATGATTATAGTCTTATTTCACACACTAGAACATATAAATAAATATAACTAAAATATTTACATCTATAAATTTTCACCTTGATTACAACTTGTCTTACTGTGAACGAAAACATCTTGAGAAAACCTGTATGTCTGAGAGAACATAGCAAGTTTTCGAAAGACACTATAAACGATATGACGTATTGAAGTGAAAGTGTAAGAAGCCCGTGCCCAAGCAGTGGGACGTTAAAAAGGGCAGCACACACATACACACATATGTATATCTAAGAAAAATGCTACACATTGAATATATGTACATAATATGTGCCTTTTGGACGAGTTGACCGTTTATATACTCAGTGTCGTGTTCCTATAGTAAAAATTGATTAGAAAATAATACTAACGTTAATTTTGAAGTTTTCTAGCCGTAACAAGTTTGTTTATATCGTGGTATGCAGCTATCATTGTATGTGAAGGTGTGGATACAGCACAGGCAGAGTGAGTCTGGATACAGTCATCTCCCTCTTGGCCTCTTCTCGCTGCTCTCATGTATCGGAAGAAACGTAATATTTCTGGATTATCCGACACTGGGCGTCTAAGCTCGTTTAGCTCCCTGTAAAATAAAAAAAAAACATACTTAAAACACATTTAATGTATCGAGTTAATTTTAAAATAATATATTGGTAACCATGAAAATACGTTTCACTTAATTAGTAGCGATTTCTTTTTAAATACTTAAACGCGCCACTAGGCCTTTGAGATTGATCGACTCTTATCTACGCCCTGGTACCTATTAGAACGAGTAAATTAAAAATAATTTATAAGAACGAAGGTCATATTAAAAAATATGTATGTACATATATGTTAGGACATTAATAAACGCCATCTAGTTCCATGGTAAGCTACGAGGCTTGTGTTATGGATACCAGATAGTTGATACACTGCACATATATAACTTTAAATACATACATATTATAATTTATATAAATACCCATGACTGGAGTACAAATATTCATGCTCATTGCTCATGATACAAATGAATGCTGCCAGCGGGACTCGAACTCGCGAACGCTGGTACAGCAAGTAGGGTCACTACAATCTGAGCAAAACGTCTCATCATATTAAACATTCACGATATTTCTCATTTTTTACGAATTCATTAACATTTTTTTTTAAACATATTTAAACAATCATAACAAATCAAGCAAGATAAACTTTTGACGAGGCCTCGCCGCCTCTCGTGAGCTGTTGCCCTGGGCTATAAATCCCATCGCTGCAGAGTATACACCATCGAACTTAAATACGTTTGAGTGAACAGCATTTTTTGTAGAAATTCATTAAAAAAATTAGCAAAAGTGCTTATCACTTGTTCTGAATTTAGCATTAACATATATTGTTTACATATATTGTTGTTTACATATATTGTTGTTTTTATATATTTTCCCTTAAATTTTATCTTAAAATAGCTTAATCTCCTTATCTCCAGCTTAGCGCGCGCTCCATACATTTAGCTACATACGAATTTCAGTGGGAAAATTCAGACAGTATTAGTGTTTTTCTACTATGGACTTAGCCAAGAATAAGTATATTTACGTATTTTGCTCATTTGCATTACATATCAAAGCTTAAACAAATAATTGGAGTCATATTAGAGTATAGTGTGATTCCAATTTTAAGATGATTTTCTGTAGAAGATAGAGCAATCGACCGAAAGCAATTTACTCGTAAAATACTTTTCATCGCAATAGAAATGATTACCGCGGGACTAGTCTTTGGATATAACATAGAAAGATGCGGTTTGAAGCTTGTATATTTATAAAACGTATTATATGTGCAGACATATAATACGTATTACTTTAGTCAGCTAAAGTAATATCGTCTGGGTTGATCTCAGGTCTCGTTTCTTTGTTGAGACACATTACTAAGTGGATTTAGTATTTACGAGTGGTGTAAGAATAATAATAATATATTCTAATTTAATGAGTTAGACATCAGTAAGTACAGTTAAAGCTTAAATTTAGCTACAAAACTCATATTATAAAACTAGAAAGAGTACAAAACAGATTTTTAAAGTATCTTACATATAAAATCTCTACCGTAAGCCAAAACAACCTTGTTTTGCCTTCCTTACATCGTCATCGAATGGAGAGAGATCTATTACTTTTGAACTTCAGATGTCCTTCTCTCACGCGTAATAAGTAAGTCATTGTTTTATCTCCCAATAACTAGAACTAAACTGCAAAATTCTTTCTTGTTACGTTCTTGTAATTTATAATTATTTTTTTATACTTTGATGTTTTTATATTTATATGTATTTTTTTTGTTATATAAGTTTTTTGTGGTCTACTCTATCTGTATGTATGTTTAAATTAGTGAAAACTTTGCTGGTTTGTGTAATATTCTATCTGTGATGTATCTACTTATGTTATAAAATACTGTATGTTTCCAAAATAAAATAAAAAAATGTTTTACGTAATTTTCATTGTCGTTCTAAGAATTTGTCTACTCTATTACGCAGTATACATCAATTACGTATTTAAAGCTTAATAATGTGTGTATGTTTGTTAATATGTACGTGTTAATCTATGGAAGTACCTGTTACTTTTGTTTTTTTTTTTGTATTTTATAGCCTATTTAGTGAAGAAGGTTACGTGCTACCTAACATCACGCGTGTTAGTATTAATCACAGACAATACAACCTGTATTTTCTGTGGTATGAATAAATGAATGCTCCCAGCGGGACTCGAACCTGCGACCGCTGGCATAGCAAGTAGGTTCACTACAAACTGAGCCAAACGTGTGGTAAAAATATTAGTCTATTAGTGAAATGTACCTAAAACACACACAATATTAGTCTATTAGTGAAATGTACCTAAAAAGATAATTACCTGCTTAACTGCGCCGACACTAAATTACTGTACGGGGCATATTTCGCCGGGCTTGCATACATGAGGCAGATTAATTGTTCCCGACAGGCCTCTAATTTCACATCGCTGAGGCTCTGACCGCCTATCATTGTACTTTCCTCGGTTGGTGGATCGGATGGAACTAAACCTAGAATGTAATTTTGTATATTTTGTAATATAATTTTTATTTTTGAAGTGAAACTTCTTTAGAATCGTTGTGATTTGAAACTCGATGAAACGGAAATGTGACACTAAAGAGAGACAAACACATAAATAAGCCGGCGAGAGAATGAGATAGAATACATTGCCATGTTGCCACGATAACCGTTATTATTGTCTGACAGATATATAATATTAAATTTCACTTCTACCATGTGTGAATTGCACAAACACGCACTTTTTAGCCTATTATAATTGATTTATTTAGGGCTAAGAAAGTTGTTAAAAATATTTTAAATAATAGTCGTGTTAATTACTAGCGAAATACCTATACTTATAAAAAAACTTCCACAAAACCTTATATCGTCGGTTTAAAGAAAATCAAACTAAATGTAAGGATTTTTTAAGATGACCTCAATAAAGTTTAACATAGTTTTATTTTTTGTGATTTCATTGCACAAGCAGAAATGTTTTGACATTAAACACTACACCTACTTATAAAAATTTAACAATATCCACAGTACGAGTATATTTTAGCTACAGACTTCTAAAGACCTCGTATGTTAAAGTTAAAGTCCTCGTATATTCATCGAATAAAAATTAAAAATTGAATGTAATTTGAATTGATTTATTTTTGATACTGCTTTATAAATTAAAATTTTTATATGTTATCTTTATATATACCACATATTATTGTATCTATTAAAAGTTAAAAATACAGTACCTATGTATAATTATGTATTGTGTATTGATATTGGTTTAGTCAATATGCAGACTTAAACCTTAGGTTTAGAAGTTTAAAGTTGAAAATAATTTACACGTGTAGAATATTTTTCTAAGTACAATATAATTGGTTTTAGAATTTGCTGAAGTTAATTAGACTTTGTAGATGTAATTATTAAGGTATATTTTAGCTTACCAAGTCTAGCGAAGATGCCATCGAGCCGTGAAAGCAACGGAGAATAAAACGGATCGTAATTGCTCAGGATCATAGATGATGCAGGTATTTTCTGAAATATCTGAAAGAGATATTGTTGAAAGTAAGTTATATCTAATATTTTATATCTTTAAACGAGCATTCTTATATTATATATATATATATATATATATATATATATATAAAAGAAAGTCGTGTTAGTTACACTATTTATAACTCCAGAACGGCTGAACCGATTTGGCTGAAAATTGGCGGGGAGGTAGCATAGAACCCAGAGACGGACATAGGATACTTTTTATCCCGTTCGACTGCGTTCCCGTGTGATATTGTTTGTCTGTTTGTCTGTTTGTACGGGCTAAACTCCGAATCTATTGGATCGATTTAAATGAAATTTTGCATGGTGGTACCTTATATCCCCGGACAACGTCTTAGATATTTTTTATCCCGGAAAATATAATGGTTCCCGTGGGATAGTTAAAAAACTATTATAACTTATACAACTTATGCACCTAATTTAATAAAATTTAACATTCTGATACCTTATATTGCCGGTCAAACAACCGGTTACTTTTCATCCGGGAAAAATGAACGGTTCCCGTGGGAACTAATAGATTTTTATTAGAGTTTTTCTAGAGGCGAACCCGAGTGAAGCGAGGGTGAGCCGCTAGTATATATATATATACATATGTATATATATATGCTCCAACGATGTTCATGAAATTTAGTATACAGGGGCGATAAATCAATCTAGATTAGTTTTATGTCTTTGAAAATGCGTGTTGTCGAGTTTTCATGCGGTTTTGTTTCACATTATTCCACGCAAAATACGGTCGCTAATTCACGCGATAGGATGGCTGATTAATTTATATAATATTGAAGTCAAATAACTAATTGATGGGTTATTTCCAAGAGGTTTAATATTTGTATATAATAACTTGTACGTTAAGTGTATCATAACTTTCGGTCACGTTGACCAAATATACTAAATGAAGCCAAACACGCACAAGATATTATTGTATACCACATACCCACGCTTCGCGCGGGTGTGTCCCTGAGTACGTTTTAATTTTTTAAGGGGAACCATAATTCTTTTTCCTAAAAAAATTGCCTAAGTTACTCCTCATAATATCAACTATCTGCTAGTGAAAGTTTCGACAAAATCAGTCCAGCCGTTTCGGAGATTAGCCAGAATAAACAGACAGATAGACAGACGGATAGACAGACACGGACACACATACAAAAAAAGTGTTTTTTTTTTTATAAGTACCGTATTATATAATGTCTTATGCATATATTAGCATTGCCCGCGGCTCCGTCCGCGTTCAGATGTCCAAAAACATAATTCTTAGGTTTTACATATTAGTATAGGTACTCTTACAATGCAGTTTTTGTGTTTTTGTATTTTTTCTCAGAAATGAGATATTTTCCCGCGGTAAAAAGTAGCCTATATGTTGACCCGGATAACCAGCTATCATCATATCAAATTTCATCAAAACGTTTTTTTGATGACGCGGTAACAGACAGACAGATAGACAGACAGACAGACAAAAAAAATCTAAAAACTATAGATTCAGACTCTGTATCGATAATAATGTCTATTTCAATTAGATTTCCCAAGAAATATTTAATGTACAGATTTGATTTAGTTAGAATTTTATTATATGCATAGATTACGAGTAGTAAAAAGCTGTTGTTTTGACATTACAAATTAATACTTCAATTTTATTTAGACGTACTCGTATATATAGATTTTTAAATACGTGTTTGTAGAGATTTTAGTGGACTTTTTATTTCATTCTTTGTCAGAAGGCCGGCAATTACATAACCTTAGTGAGATCAGGTGCAGGACCGACAGGACGATTTTACGTGCTCTACCAGTCACGGGAATGTAACGAGCGTTATTAACTTCCTAACTACAAGCTGCTATTGGCAATTTTCTCAGAATTATTTTTCTTTTTCAAACTGCGAGTAGAGTTATTGACAAGCGATAATAGTATTTCTAAAATACCAATATTGTTTTTTATTTTAATTAGAATTAAAAGTGTAATTAAATAAAATACTGCGTCGTATTTAAAGTTCTCACACATTATGTAAGACTTTCTTTAAATTGAGTTTCCCAAGCAAGCACATACCACTGGGCTACCGCAGCCTTTATAACACGTGTAACCATTTAATTAATTAATTTAAAATAAACTAACATTTAGCAATAATATGTTGATTATTTTTCAGAGCATATTAATTTAATTTGATTTAATTAACATTGGGAGACAGACGTCATGATGGAGGTATACATATGTATGTGAATTCTGACTTTGGGGGTAATTAATAGTACCTGGGTGACCGAGCTGTGCTCGGATTTCTTTTTTGTTATATCGTATTTTTTTGATCAAAAAACCAAACTAAAAACTTGTATAAATACAAAAAAAAACAAAAGTAAAAACTTTGTATCCGACCGCGAGTCAAACCTGGACATCTATGATTGTCAATCTTGCGCCTGGGCCGCTTGACCGCGATGCCCGAGCATGCGAAATTAGCGACATATTTCGCGTGGAATAATGCGAAAAAAAATCGCATGAAAATTCGAAAACACGCGTTTTCCCAGACTATCTTATGGACATCTAGATCGATTTTTGCCCCAGAAAACCCCCACATACCAAATTTCAGCGAAATAGTTAGAGCCGTTTCCGAGATCGCCGGTATAAATAAATAAATATACAAGTATTGCTCGTTTAAAGGTATTAGATTAGATAATGACAGTTTAAATTTGAAAAAAGTAAAAACTACAAATCGTAATTACTGAATCAATTAATCGGCTGTTAGACAAATAGTACATTACTAGTGGGAAAAAAGTGATGTCTTCACATGCGAAGCCATAATCAACTCAAGAAATATCTATCCCATCAAAAACATACTGTAAAAATATTGCAAGTCTCGCAACGCATCTCTCTACCGCAAAAAGCTATGAGATATAATGTAAAACCAAGTCGGTTAATTTATTCATTACCTATCTATGGAAGCATCTATCCGACAACTTTGTCATAAATCGTTACCGAATTAGTTAAGTTACAACATTTTATAGTGACCGTATTAATATCAGATATATTTATTTCTTTAATTAATAGAGTGACTTGGCCATCGCACGGAAACATAATCACATAAGAGTCGACTACTTTAAATAGTCCTAATTAAAAATACCATGACCAAGGTGGACGGACGACTTGGTCAAAGTCGCTGGAGCCCACTGGATGCGGATGGCACAAGACTGGTTGTCGTGGTAATTTTTGGGGGAGGCCTATGCCCAGCTGTGGACGTGTTTGGGCTGAAATGAATGGAACATAGTACTAGCGGGTCAAATTGATGCATACACTAACAATACATAAATAATGCGCTCAGAACGTTAATATTAGGTAAATTTTGTTATTTGTAGGTTCTGTTATCATGTGCGATGGCCAAGTCATTCTATTAATTAAAGAAATAAATATATCTAATATTAATACGGTCACTATAAAATGTTGTAACTTAACTAATTCGGTAACGATTTATGACAAAGTTGTCGGATAGATGCTTCCATAGATAGGTAATGAATAAATTAACCGACTTGGTTTTACATTATATCTCATAGCTTTTTGCGGTAGAGAGATGCGTTGCGAGACTTGCAATATTTTTACAGTATGTTTTTGATGGGATCTCATTTCTTTTTGTAAATATTTCTTCTTTTTCCCTTTTCTTGTACTATTTCTTGTGTGTCAGCTAAGGACTTCTTAAAAGCCCACTCCCTGTCTCTGTGGGCTTTTTTTCAGAGGCTTTGATATAACAAATTTTGACAAGTCTGGATGATAAAAAATCTAAGTCTATTGTATTCGGAAATTGCGGATTCCTGGGCTTCATTACTACTATCTTATGCATTAAGTATAAATATGTATAGTTAATTTAATGAATATTTTAATTTCATTGTTGACCCTAAATACCTACCCCGATACTGATATTGAACTAACGTAAGTTTAATAAAACGTGTAGATTTATGTGTCTATCTGCGGCATCGTAGGTAAATCCCAAAGGTTAATTATTATTGCTTGTTCAGTCAATTTTGATGCAGTTTAATAGAAAAGTGAGGTTACCAACTCACTTCATTCACTGATTCCATTGGCCATTTTAAAAGTAATTTTCGAAGGGATTGATATTTAATGACCTCTACATTCCATGTTCTATTAGGTGTGTACAGTTACGAGCAATGAAATTTTAACAAGTTTTCTAATTCAAATCAACATCATACTTTATAAAATAAAATATACGAGCTTTGTTTCAAAATATGTTGGGACAGTAACACACAGAACCATCTAGTTCCATGGTAAGCTACGAGGCTTGTGTTATGGATACTAGATAGTTGATACACTACACATATATAACTTTAAATACAATGATATTATAAATATAAACGCCCATGTACACGAAATGTACCTAGTTTTATTATGTTCTCTTAGTCACTCAAAATTCAAGCTTCTAGCTTTATCCATAACGAAGTTATGGGGGGGTGGAAAATGCTCTAAATCCCTTCGAGAAAAGGATGGTACTGCCGTGCCCTTTTTTGCTCGACTTGTTTGCTCGACTTGGCGGGGGCACTGCCGTGCCCCCCGATCTTTATACATATCGTGTGTATATCAAAGAAATACCACTAACTGATTAATTACGAAATTTCTGAAAGTATACATGGTACAAACTTTAGTTGGTACATTTGTCATAGGGAGTTGGTACTAAATAAAAGTTGGTGCTAAATAAAGGTTTTTGGAAATTCTACCCCTAAAACGGTAAAAAAACGGTAAAAAAAGTTTGGGAGTTTATATAAAATTCAGTTTTAAAGTTCCAACAACGAAAGTTGAAAATAATTTATTTCATTAAAATGACAGCTTTTCTTATTAAAAGTTTCAGGCAGTACGTCCTCTGGGAAAAATACGGGATTATGTAAAACTTAGGAGCGGAGCAGTTATAGATAAATAAACTTTACGAGAAAATTCGCAGGGAAACGAAACTATAAAGAAATTTATGATTAATTGTGTTATATGGGCCATTAATGATTATTAAATTATGCTGCAGGGTATAACCTAATAATCATAAAATCAAAGGCATACTTTACCCCTCGCTACCCATGAAAACCACTAGCTCTCGTATTCATCAAAATAGGGTTTTCACAATAAATTGAACCTCAATATTATATTTGAAATATCTAAATATTATTTTAGGCATTAAAATAATATTATAGTTTCGCTAATTATCTATTAAAAAAAAACAGTGGTAGCCCAGTGGTAACGCACCATCTTGGGTATTTTTTGTGCGGATCCTTTCCAATATGATTACCATTTGGTAATACGGTGAAGGAAAACACCGTGAAAAAAATATATATTTAAGCATTCCATATTATAGAATAAAGCATTTTTTTAATTTATAGTTTCTACGAAGCTTTTATAGAAACGGACGATTCTATAGAAAGGATACCATTATTGGTGTTTTCAAATCTTAATTAGAAAGGGAACTTGGTCCAGTTCTACCTTTAGTTTTTTACAGCAGAAAGTTTTAACGATGGTTTGGATTGTAAAAATCTAAAGTTGGTAAACTTTTAATTAAAACTCAACGGTTTATTGGTAAATATTAATATAAGAACAAAGTTTAACGAAAGTTCGTTATATAATAACCATTGCATGTTTTGAATGATGCGTAGTAACTATTGATTCTGTTGTATTTTTAACAGATGAAAGCGACATTTTTCTCTTAAGTTAATTTTTCTTTGGTGTGTATGCAGAATGTAGTACATATACTTTTAATCTTACTATTTTAGTGATAGATAATTCAATATTAAAACACACGCAAGGTTGCAGGAAATAATAATAATTAATTACAATCAAAAAACGTAATAAAATATTTATTAAAATGAGAATTATTTAATACTAGTATGTCATCCTCGCTCTGCTCGGGTTCGTCGCTAGGTTCGTTTTAAGGGTTAGTATAGATTTCCCAGAAATGTTGATCCGGATAACCAGCTATCATCATATCAAACATCAAAATCTGTCCTGTGGTTTTCTCGTGACGCTGGGCGGTGACGTGGAATCCCAGACAGATAGACAAAAATTCTAAATACTATAGGTTCGGCCTTTGTATCGATAATAATGGCTATTTCAATAAGATTTTCCAAAAAATATTTAATGTACAAATTCGACTCAGAATTTTATATGTAGAGATATATAGAATATTTAATGCCAGAATGTCAAAGTTTCGAAGTATTTCATTAAACAGTCGGCGATAATTAACAAAAGATAATGCTGACAGGCAGGTGTCTACAACCTTGAAGTGTCCTTAATGTTTCATTATTGAAAATGTACTGTACAAAATAATTGAAATAAGAGTGCTGGTTTGTTTTCCAAATCAAATCCAATCTAAATTAAATTTATTTTAATAGACTCAACTCCTAACCTGTTTTGGCTACGGTGGCCTCGGCTTTACTGAGATTAGCCAGGTAGCGTAAGAGATATAGACAAACAGACATACAAACAAACAGATATTTTTTTCAATAACTATTGTTTTGGGGTCTATATTCTCTACATAATACGTTACAGTCATTGTTTTTAATAAATATTTCATGTATAAATTTCGCTAAACTACTGTTTTATTAAATGTATAGGTATTAGTTAGTTGTTATTTTAAATACATATTTATTGAATCACATAGAATCACTTAAAACATAATCATGCTCCAAAACATAAAATTTTTTTTTGTCGCTTCGGTATATGTCCGATTTTCAGCGAAAATGCAACATCGCCCTGGTGTCGTGGGTTTAGGCACTACGTGGCTGATTGGGATTTTAAAAGACGCGTATTGACAAGGGCTAAAAATACAAAAAAAAAATCGAAAGAATGTGAAAAATTTACATAAAATAATACAGTGCACAAGTACACACGTGTATGTGTAGACAATTGCACTCTTTGCTCCATTCACACTCAAAGTACTATCGGCCTGAATAGAGATTGAGAGGTTAGGACTTAGGCGTTATAGAGATTGATATACCGCCAACTTCCCAACTCCGGACTGTTACTGAGAAACTCAATAACTGTTATTAAATCGAGCCACTCTGGATTTGCAGCCGTACATCCTAGTTTCTAGGCCAACAAGGTAGGCAACTTTTACAAATACTTTCGTATCCTCAATTTTTACATTTAATTTAATGTTCGTAATAATATTTCTTTTTGGCATTCAGCGGAGGAAGCTACTTTCGTTCTTGCGACCATTCGACGCGAACATCACTTTTACAATAAGCGTACATTTCTTTTGTATAATATATTTAAGTATATAATTAGGTCTATTCTTTCTTTTTGTAAGTAAAATACTTTTGAGTTTAATAGGAAATATTCCAAAGATCTCTAAAATTCAAGTCAAACTCATCATGCAAATGTAACATTTGCTTACTAAAAATTAAGTTAGCCCAGAAAAATAAAATTAAATATATAGAAATTTATTATTGACTTATAAGAAAATGAAATGATGATGATGAGTGTTTAGTAAATACCTTATAATTATTGTTCGTAGCCATTTGATTCTTATAATAGCTATTTTTGCTGGGCAGGTAAGAGGCTTTTTGGCCGCCGACACCAAACCTGAAAAATAAAGACAATCATGGAAATAATCTATACATATAATATAAATGTAACGGATTGCTGTTTGTACATGGAAGATATATGAGAAAAAATATTATTGGGACCTTTTACAATGCAAATAGCACCCAAAACAATGATTGTTAGAATTTTTGTCTGTTTGTCTATGCGTTTGTGCACACTGATCTCAGAAACGACTTATCCGATTTAGATGTGGTTTTCTATAATATATTGTGGTAAGCTTTATTTAACATTTAGTATTTGTTTCATGTCAATCGGTTCATAAATAAAAAGGTTATCCCAATTTAAAGAATCACGTCGAACATTTGTTAAACTATCTATATCTATCTATACTTTCTTTCTTCAGTAGCATTGAAACTTTACTAAACACAATATAATAACACATAGGCTACTTTTTATCCCGGAAAAATACACGGTTTTCGTAGGATAGATTTGTTCTTGTTTTTCTAGAGGCGAACCCGAGCGAAGCGAGGGTGAGCCGCTAGTATTACATAATATAATTTAGCTCTTTGAACGTCCCACCGCTAGGTACGGGCCTCACCTTAATAAGATGTGGATTTTGCCATTCCTGTTATTTAAAGGATAGGTACCTAAATAACGTTATAATAAAATGAAACAAAGCTCTTTGTTTTTATGCTTTCAAACATGCATAAAAAGCATTAACATTTCAAACATGCATAGCAAAAGAAAAAGCTTCTATATTTTGCTATGTTTTTTCCCAATAAAGTAAAGAAAGCTCGATATCTTGAAGTTAATGAATGACGTAAGAGATGCAGTTTGAAACTAAATGAAAACAGTTTTAAACACATTTAATAAAGTCTCTGTTGTGTACTTTTCCCAAGTTCTATTTTAGAATTAGAATAAGTTTTAGTTTGTAAAATCGAGTTTGGTAGACTGACTAACTTGACAAGGCCCAAATTGTTTTAGGAACGATGGTCCAAAGAGATTTTTAATGCGAGGGGTAAAGTCTACGGTTGTTCGCTCGGAGTTTACCCCTAGCATTAAAAAAACTATAATTTGATTGGCTTATTAACATATTATATTTACTATATCTATTTTCGTGCGATTTATAAAACATTTAATTTTTTTGAGCTTAAGATATTCTCTTCTGTTTTGGCGTTAAGGTGGAACCTTAAATTTCTATTGCAGTTTTTTGGAAACGACTTCTCTTTGGTATTAATTTCATAAAAAAAGACTTGGTATACTAACATGATAATAAACAGACACACAAACGTTTTAAATCTCTCTATAATTAATTAAGTACTGATTAAATCGTTTATATTTTATTTATTTTATACGAGACAAAGACGAATTGGGCTTAGATGAAAATTTCATTGAATTATTTCCTTTAACAGATGCTTTTGTCACGTGTTTTAATTTAGTTTGCAAAGAGCAAACCTAATTTCTCTATTTCTTACGTATTGCTTCCTTATCATATAACCGCGGCTCTGTGCGTGATACATTAATGAAAAGTAGTAGTAGTAAGTAAAATTTTTGTTATAATTATAAATTAAAAATTTAAAAAACCCCTACGCAAATTAATTGTCATTTAACGATTTCACGCGTTAAGCACTTAATCGAGTAATCATACGCCAAAATGGCTTACATCATTTTGGAAAAGAGCTGATACTCTTACACTGCTGGACCAATATTAATCAAACATAGCTAAGAACCACAGCAAGGAAACTGGCTTTCAAATGAAAAAACCGCATCGATATCGGTTCATCCGATTGAGAGCTACGATGCCACAGACAGACACACACACACACAGACAGACATCGATGTTAACTTATAACACCCCTTTTTTGCGTCGGGGTTAAAAATTGAATTACTCATCTAAAGATTAGCGAGTACAAACGGGCAGACAAACTATAGATTTTTATCGATTTTCGATTGATTTTTCTTGTAAAGAACTTTATGATTATAAGGATGAAACAATACACATTTTTTATTTATAAGTATACATATGGAGCATCGTATGGAGAGTTGAAACTTACATTGAAGTTCTGTCATTCGTTTTGAGGATCCTTCAAACGGATACGACAAAATTTCTTCCTGACTTTTTTGTGTATTTTGCAATTTTGCATATTTTGGATGATTTTTTTTATTAAATAGCTTAAAGGGTTGAATAGATTTTCAGTCGAAATTCCGGTCTTATTCGGTTCTTATACCTTTGTTGTCGATTAACAAAGGATTAATAATTAAATGCTCTTCTTAACATAAAACCCTACAAAGTATTAAGGTGAGTATGATAGTGACATGAAAATAATATGAAAAATGAGTGTATATATGTAATAATGGTTGGTAATCTATACTAAATCTATATAAAGAGGCAGAGCTTGTTTGTTTGGTTGAACGCGCTAAACTTAGGAACTAATAATCCAATTAGAAAAATTATTTTTGTTTTAGATAACTGGTTTATTGAGGAAGGCTATAGGATATCATCCCGGAAAAATGTCCGGTTCCCGTGGGATAGATTTGTTTTTGTCTAGGGACGAACTAGAAGCGAAGCGAGGGTGAGTCGCTAGTCGTTTAAATAAAATTGATTGACAAACGCACTAACCGTTTTCTTACATGACAGTATAGAAATATCAATCAAATTATGTAAAGGACGAAGATTGTAAGGACGTACAACCAAGAAGACTGATTGACAGTAACAAATTGATGAAAAACCTTTTATGTGAAATTGGATCAGCTTTACACAAGCTTTGTTATATCCAACATTTGGCCAGAAAAATAGAATTTAACTTTGCTCTAAATTTCCGATTCAATGGTTTTTTTATAAGATTTAGGATTACTTACTGAGTATAAAATCACGAAATGTTGACAGATTCCGGTGAAGCTTCAAGCCCCCTCTTGAAAAAACCTTTTTGGCCGATATCTCGGAAAATATGTAAATTAAGGCAAAAGTCATTCAGCCCATTTCTGTAGAGAGTAAAATTTCGAATCTTTTGTTCTTTGTAATTTTTTTTTGTAAAACTTACCGTTTACGATTTATGGTCCATTTAATGAATTTTTTTTACAAATGGGATCTGTCTGCATTTTGTGATTTTATACTTAGTAAGTGATTCTAAACCTTATAAAACAAAAATTGTATCGGAAATTTACTGCAAAGTTGACCAAAAAAAAACGTCTATTTTAACTGGCCTAATTAGTTGAAAACGATTTGCAACATTTTAATACGTCGACCCTTGTCATGTATTACCAAGTTTATAGGATTTTGGGGTTTTAGCAATTAAGTAATAAATTAAAATTTTAGAATTGACCATTTAACGATTAAATTGTAGGTTTTTCCTGAAAAATCACATATATTTTATTTATAAGTTTAATCTTAACAACATAATACTTAAACGCGATATTCTGAAAATAGTTTAAACTATTTCTACTTGGTCGAGTTTTTGTAATATAATAATTCAAAATTAAAATTCAAAAGACAAAATTAAAAATTAATCATAGTTTGACTTCTGCTACCTTTTTTTAAAATTTTAAGAACTTAAATAGATAGAAAAGCACAAACAGATCTATCCCACGGGAACCATCCATTCTTCCGGGATAAAAATTAACCTCTTGTTTGACCAGCAATATAAGGTATCAGCATGTCAAATTTTACTAAATTAGGTGCATAAATTGTTGTGTACTAAGCTGTATAAATTACTATAGTTTTTTAACTATCCCACGGGAACTCTTTGATTTTCCGGGATGAAAAGTATCTAAAATGTTGATCAGAGATATAAGGTACCACCAAGCAAAATTTCATTTAAATTGGGTCTAACAGTTTCTGAGATTAGCCCGTACAAACAGACAAATAGACAGAGAAACAAAAAAAACTGATTTGCTCTATTTCTTTTCTTACATCCCCCTGACTTGGTTTTTAGCATTTTTTTCTAGATACAGACATTTGACCTCTACAGTTTTATTATATATGTATCTTACTATAAAAAAACCTCTTTCAAAAAACTTACTTTTCCTAATGGAAATAAGTCAGTGGACTAATATTTTCTGTCATTTGGAAAGTTTTCATGCGCACTTCGCATTTCCAGCCACGTCCCTACGGATTTCAACTTTTTTTCACACAGCGTCCGCGGAATGTAGGCCACGATAATAAAACACAATAATATTCCCATATATCGTATAGATAGCACGGAGAATCATTTTCTGAACATGCATTATGTTTAGCCGCTTATCTCATGTCCATATTTATTTTAGATTTTGTGCTAACGGTACCCTTGTTTGGGCCCCAAACGCACTGTAATTCTGTTATTTATGTTACAATTCCACCCGAATTATGTTATCTTTATTCTGTATCTTTTACATTGTAACAATAAATAGATTGAAAGATTGGCAGAACATATTTTGTTATGGTCAATTTTCCTAATATTTTTTGCAATATAAAATACATTAAAATTTTAAATACTTTCCAGGCCCTTGCAAGTATTATAAGTATTTAATATTTATAATAATCTTACTTTTTAAGCTATTTAAAAACATTAAGTACTAAATAAATATTTTTTATAAGAATATTCTACACAGAATATATTTTAAAAGGTTTAAAGGTTACAAAATGGCTATTTCTAAAAATTTCAATTTCAAAGCGACGTTTTAGAAAAAAAATTGAACATAAATTGAACATTTGTCACTTATCATTGTTTTTACATTTTACATATTGAATATCAGTGTTCGTTTATTTTATAATTGAATTCTTAATCTTACCGAGACATATCGATGTTAGAAAGATCGTTCACATCGTTCGCATTTCCATACAATTCGTCTTGGGAGTAGGCGTATGTCGCTGCTGGATTTGTTTCGTATCCCATAAAGTCTTTATTATCATTGTTATAGGCGGTTTGATCATCGCCATTGGCTGGTGGATAGCTTGCTTGACTGGATGCAGCTGATATTTGGGATATACCTGCAAACATATTTTTTAGTTGTCAATAATCTAAACACTAATTAACAAAAAATATGAAATCTTTATATTTTTGTTGCTTAAAGCTATGTTTATTCTGCTTTGAGGTAGGCATTAAGATTTTTGCATCTGGGATATAATTCCCGTGGGGTATTTAATGTAGGATGTTTTAAAAATAGTGTTACTGTAAAAAAGTTAAATTGTTCGTACACATAGGAATTATCGATTATAAATTATAATAACGATATTAACATACATATTTAAAACTTTTCTTTATTATTGATGTTTCAAATTAGATTTGTTCTAAACTCCTAGAATTTATCTTTTATTAATATTTTTAAATATAAAAAAGAATTTTACTTCGTTTTATAAAGCTGTGAGGCTATCCTAACCTAATGTTAAAATTGAAAACATTTTCTTATACAGAAAATAATAATCTTTCAAGGAAAATGTTCAAAAAAGCAATACTCTTAAGCACAATATAATCAACTACTTTGAAAGGATTCTTGTTGATTGATTAAGGTATTTAAAATACGCAAAGCTTTCGACAGTGACACAAACAAGTGCCAAAGTTTTGTCACAATGGTGATTTAATCAATTCAGAAGTTACTTTGGCTTACCTTTGCCTAAGATTTTGCCGAAACTTCCTAATATGCTCGGCAAAAACATGGCTAGCAGAATACTCTTGAAAATTTGAGCACCGATGAGGAGTGGTAAGAACAACTTTTTTAGTCCGAATGCTGAAATGAAGATTAGTTAATGTATTTTAAAATTGGTATCTTTTTTATTATGGCAGATAAATAAATATTTTTTATTTCACAAGGTTATTCATTAACTACATTTTTTAGTAAGTAAAATCTTTAATCTAAACAATAATGTAAGTGTGCTAAACAAATTATTCCAAAGGTCTCAAAATTATTATAAAAGTAATGTCAAATGGAATTTATCTTTGAGGAATCACTAAAGTTGGATCGCAATCGCCGAAGACGTCACGTACATACACACAAAAATATACACTTTAAATTAAGGACCTCCTCATTTTTTAAGTCGGTCAAAAATAATCATGACGTGAATATATGTTTTTTTAGTCAAAACTATTACTTACATCTAAATCCTACAAGTCGTGCAGCTTTTGGAAGATTTATGGATAGTATGTGGGTATCAACAAAATGTTTTATTTTCTGAAATAGTCTATATTCGTAAGTGTATGTGCTGAATAATGCTCTCCCTACTTCTTTATGTTCAAGGCTTTCTTTTGGTTTTATTTTATTCTTATCTATCGCTTTAATTTCAACACCTTCGAATATTTCATAATTATCTTGATTGAGAGCGTCATCTACAAATTTTTCTAATACGTTCTGTAACTGTCTCTCTGTGCTGTTTACAAATACATATTTTTCAGAGAAGGTGCTAATTGCATCTAATATATTGGCGAAAAAGTTATTTTCCTTTGGAACTTTCTCTTCATTATTTACATTATTAATTTTATTACTACTACTACTTTGACAGCTATGGCAACTAGTCGAATCTACTCTATCATCTAATTTAATAGAGCTATCCATATGACTTAATTTTTCATTTTGAATATTCTGGCAGCTGCCTGTCACGAGCAAAAGAAATATATATGTCGTGACTATGACGGTATTCTCTGAAAGTTTCCATGCTTTTCTTCTATATAACTTTTGGTTTGATTCGTATGGGTCCATGTTGCGTCCAAACTTTCAAACTTCATCACCGCAAAGTGGCTAGAAATGTTTTAAAGTCGATATATCTATTGGGACGATAATCTGAAACAAAAGGTTCATCATAAGTCAATCAATCTCAATAATATTAGTACCAGTTTATTTTGAATGTAATTTACAATATGAGTAAAAGAGTTTCATCCACCCATTTTTATCCTAAAAAGTTTTTATATACGTACATACGTTCTAATTAACTCGTTTTGTTGCGGAAGTAAGACTATCAGTTGCCTTTTCATGTTTAAACCACTGAATAGATTTTAATGAAACTTGATAAGGACATAGATTGCACCATAGGGACAGACATACGCTACCTTTTATCCCGCTCACCCTGCGAGGCGGCGATTTTAATTTTATTTTCTTATAAAAGAAAATAAAATTAAAAATACTTTAATGGCTTCTTTTTGATGTTTTTACGTAAAGAAATCCACAATAGTGTAATCTAAACATGATTTCTATATGAGTTGCGTCTATTGAAAACGTTCACACCATTGTCATTGCCATTATGTGCTGTAACATTATACTACTAGATAGTTTCGCTTCAAGCCCTCGTTTACAAGCTTTTCTAATTACATAAAAGTTATTTATTTATAAAAAAATGTCCCATAAAATTTCTTTATTATTTATAGAATCGCACTCTATTATATAGCTTTTTCTTCTTCTTAAGAGGTAAAATAAAGACTTTGTTACATTTTAAGTCGCTTTCAAATATTTAAAAACGAGATATAATACCTCATATGTATAGAATTGACCTGTGAATACTAGCTTAATGGTAATAGCGACTTCGATCGCAATGGTGGGTTTTAAAATAACCTGTATTACCAAAGTTAGTTTTCTACTGATAAAAGAAATTTATAAATTCGTTAATCGTATTCTTAAACATTACTAAAAATCAGTAGCAGTGGTAGCATAGTGGTAATGCGCTCGATCGGGAAACCCAGTGAAGTGATTCAAATCACGGAATTCGCACCTCTGGTATTTTCATGTGCGCATTATTTCCTACATGATCACCTTATCTTATGACGAAGGATGATCTTAAAACGTGCATGTACATATGTGAGAAACTAGCAAACTTTCGAAATATACCTATGTGAAGTCCGCCAACCTGCACTTGGCCAGTGTGGTGGACTATAGCCTGATCCCTCTTATATAGAAATGTTTGGAAAGCCCATGCCTTAAGGAAGTTAAGGAAGGCTGAATGTACAAAAAATAGATATAAGCTGTGTATAATATGATTTACTAGGTTATTATTGAGCTACCCTCACTCCGCTCGTGTACATCCCTGGGTGTCTTTTGTATTTGTAATATTATAATAATTAGCGCCACTTTTTGACAAATTTTATACCTAACAGTATCTTATGTGGTAGTCAAGCTCATGTCTATCTGCGTACTAAATTTCATCCAAATCCGTCCAGCCTTTTCATCGTGAAGTAACAAATATACACACAAACAAATTTTCGTATTTATGATATTCGTATGATTTTCTAATTAAAAACTCTTATCAATTTCAAACGCTATAACTATGATGAGTACAAAGGTGTTCCGTAAAAGCTTTATAATGCACTCGTTAATATTCATTTTTTACGTCAAATATGCTGCACATTATGGGTGGATGAGATATAAAACTTTATGATGCTTTTATTGAAAACTGAGCAGTAAAATATATGTGTTAAAATATATTTTAGTGCAGACTAATGGTATACCAATGATATATTTTTCTTATATATTATAATACTAGCATTGCCCGCGGCTTCGCCCGCGTTCAGGTGACCAAAAACCAGATTCTTAGGTTTTACATATTAGTATACTCTTATATAGCAGTTTTTGTATTTTTTCTCAGAAATTAGATATTTTTCCGCGGTAAAAAGTTTTTCTGTGATGCGGTAACAGACTGACAGACTGACTATATAAATAAATATCTAATGTACAAATTCTGCTCAGTTAAAATTTTTTTATATGTATAGATTATAATATGAAATTTGAAAACGAATAAACATATATGATTATGCATACTAAAGATTTATCGAGCGTTAGATCAAATCACAATTGATGATTAACCAATACAAAAAATAATGTTTTGCAAAAAAAAAACTAAGAAAACAACTTCAAAGTCATTATAAAAATAAATAACTAAAGCTTATAAAATTCTCTTTGTAAGCGTATCGATTACATTACCCTGATGACATCTTGCCGATCCCTGGATTGATTACATTAATGATACGATTAGACGATACATAGTAACAAATTCAAAAATTGTTTCCGGTTTTAAGAGCGCTTCCGCAGCTTTGCGCTGTTAAGCTTGAAAACTGAACTTTTTAAAGCTTTTTGTATCCATTAAGTAAGTCTTACGAATATTTTAGGAATTTTATTTAACAAAATATTAGGTATAGAAAGAAACATACTCGTAAGTTAATGGAGTGTTTGTGTATAAATATAATTTGGAAGTTATGATATTTGAGTTTGAGAGCTAACATAAATATACACGTAAATGAATTCGCAGGCTGTTATACGCTTAGGGATTTACGGACCCATCCTCTCTCGCTAGTTTAAATATGAATAGTCTAAGATCCCACTATGTGGTGGACCTCTCATTATTTTTCAAGGCGAAATATATTTTAAACCATAAAGCATATTAAGAAACACGACCCAGGGGGGTTGCCACCAAAAATTTGCTCCAGGTTATTTCTTGCTAAAAAAAACCTCTAGTCTGGAGATGTTTTGGTATAACAACCCTATATCATTAAATTTGTTATAAAAATATGTATATTTTGATACTTGGTTCGTTGAATACTATACGAGCAAACTACTTCAACTTACCTGTTTATACCTGATGTCAGGTAAATTATTTGAAAAAGCCCGCAAAACGTATGATGACATTTTCTACAAGTCTTTTACTTACGATTGATACTTATTGATCACAGGAAAGAAGTTCTTGTACTTATAAAAAATCATTTTTTTTAATTAAAAATAGCCTAGGACAAATTTTTGGTGACAACCCCTGGTTCTTGTTTGTTAATATGTTTTATGCTTTAAAAAATGGTCTGGAAAAAGAGTGAGAGGTCCACATAGATCGGGATCTCTTGCTATAAAGGAAAGGTCAATTTATTCGAAAGTCAAATCGTAAATGTGACGTATACTATTTCAATCTTGTTTCAGGTAGAAAAAAAATACAAAAAAATGTACAGAAATTGAATTCAAAAGATTAAAGTAAATGTTTCAATAAACTTAGAATAACGGCTAGCTTTCATGCTGTCAGTCAACACGTCATATGTTTATATTCATATGAGCAAAATTACTCTTGTATATTAAAATACTAGCGGCTCACCCTCGCTTCGCTCGGGTTTGTCGCTAGGTACGTTTTAAATAGATATAAAAAGAAAAAATCTTTCTTTCTCACATTTTAATTATATGTTTTAATACTTACCTATTCCGGACTAAGAGAAATCCAAAAATTAAAATATCATAAAAATTTGAACGCGGTCGAACGGGATAAAAAGTATCCTATGTCCTTCTCCTGGCTCTAAACTACCTCCCTGCCAATTTTCAGCTAAATCGGTTCAGCCGTTCTTGAGTTATAAGCGAAGTAACTAACACGACTTTCTTTTATATATATAGATTAGCTTCCAATTACAGTTTTGTTTGGGTAAAGTTTATTCTTTTAATAATTCTATAAAGAAGAAAGATTTGTTTGGCATCGATAAAAAATGAAAAAGAAAAACAAATACAAAACTTAACAGGTTTTGATAATTAAGGCGGGGTTTAAAGGTGACCAATGTCTGCACATGGATCTAACCTATATCCTTGCCAAATTTTATCAAAATCTGCTCAGCATTAGTTAGTTTGATTTATTATTCCCGGGTTTTAAAATATTTCTTTTAAAATTTAATATCGTAAAATAATATTTTTCTTAAATTATTTGCAATACCTATAAGAAATGTAGTCGTATAAAGCAATAACGACTTGAATTTTCATCGGTAATTCACATTAACTTATTGAAATCGTAAAATCTTTATTGGTTATGAACTTCTTCCAATGGCTTCTTACATTTATATTTCTAACTTCAGTAAACTTAATGTTTTGTTTTCTACATAGTAGATATCAAGATATAAGGGATAGTAGGTAAGAAGGATAGGGAAAGAAAATATACTTTTACCATATAGCTTGTAAGACTTGATTATTATGATCATATTTTTAAGTTATATGAGTCCTAGGACCGGGTATTATATATATATATATATATATATATATATATATAGTTTTGGCTTAACTTAGCCCCCGAGTAGATACTTTTTTTCACCACTAGCTACACTAGCACCATTTTACTCCACTTTTACTCACTTTTTTGTATTTCTTCGAAATTTACTGAATATTTTCGTAATTTTCAACTGAACTGCCGCAATTTTTATATGAAAGAATATTCTAGTATTCGAAAATTCGAAACCATTCTAATAATTTCAAATCCTTTCTGGAAAATGTTTTGTCCCTTTCTTACTCGCGGGGATTTACGGTTAATTCTAGTAGTTGTCATTTGTTGACAACTTTCTTCGTGTCGTCTCCATTCTACGTGACAGTGGCGAAATAATTAGTGCTTTGAAGCTGTTGACAAGAGAATTGAATTGAATTGACAACTTTCTTGGTATGTGTAAAGCATGCTTCAGACGTGTCATTTTAAATTAATATTTTTGGTATAAAGACGTTACACACTCTCCACTACACGACAATATTATATAATTACTTTTTAACCAAAAGGTACACTGAATTCTAATTGATTTAAAAATAATCATCTCACAGTTAGACGTATAAAATAATAATACGATATAAAATAGAATGGCTGAAAAAAAACCTTTTTCAGAAAAACGTAAACAAAAGATTTACACGTGTAAGAAAGAAACAAAAGATAATATGACTAAAACGGATTTATTCAACTAACAAAGGAAAACTAATATTCGTAGAGAGTAACAAAAGAT